CACCAGCACTCTTCCCATCCTTGTGTGGAATGAGTTTTGTTGAGTGCACTGAGGCATGTACAGATGTGCACCACCAGTAGAAAACCCTGCTGCTAGCTCTGAGCACTCTGCTAATCAGCCAGGCGGCATCCGAATCTCTCCAGGGTGCCGCCCAAGCGCTCGGCTTACAGGGAGCTCTGATCACCAGCCCCCAATGCACTGCCACTAATTAGGCAGGTTGGACGCCAGCCAGGGCTGGTGCGCACACTAAGCAGGCTGGAGGCAAGGCCCTGAGTAAGGATGTGCCAGGCAGCATTTCTCCACCCAGGACGGGAGCAGGAAGGGCTGACCCCAGGCGACAAGGTGCTGCTGCCAGGCTGGCTCAGCGCGTTCACTCCTGTCCCTCGCAGGGCGGAGATCCAGATTGACAACACGCTACGGCTCAGCCGCGTGAGCGCTGAGGACGAGGGCACCTATACCTGCGTGGCAGAGAACAGCGTGGGCAAGGCGGAGGCCTCTGGCTCGCTCAGCGTGCATGGTGAGGGGTGTAGGGCTGGGCTGAGGCAGCTGGAGTGGAGGAGGAGCTGAGGAGACCCCTGCCCGGGGCCCACTTGCCCCTCTGCAGTGGCTGACACTAGCCGGGCACTCGGTGCCACCGGGGAGAGGGAGGGGGGCTGGATTTGGAGCCAAGCCTGGGGCAGAGTTGCTGATCTCCTTCACAGTGAGCCTCGCACAAGAGCGTGCAAGGTGCATCACAGGCAAAGGGCGGGGGCAGCAGGGGCTTGCTCAGGGCTCATTTAGGCTTCAGCTGCAGGTCTGTTCCCATGCCAGGCCTGCGGGTCCCGGCAGGTACCAGCTCCCAGCCCTGTGTGGGGCGGGTGCCCAAAACAGACTTTGTGCTGGGACCAGGCCTCGGCTGGTGCAAAGTCTTTGGCGCAGCGCACTGGCCCTGCTTCGGATCGGCCCGGTCTCGGCTGGCACCCGCTCTGCAGCGTCTCCAGAGCCCTTAACCAACCGGGCACAGGCTCCTGCCTCAGGTACCTGGCAACCTACATCCGTTACCCTAGCACCCACAGGGCTCAGCCGGACCATGGCCCACCAGTGCCCAGCAATACTGTGCCGCTCTGCACAGCTGCCTGGGCTGAGGGCGGGAGAGGAAGGAGCGACTAGCATTTTGAACCCTGGGTCCTTTGTCTTCCATTGAGAGGGAAGAAAAGGCTTTGACAGGCGGCCGGGTGGATGGGGGAGGGTTGGTTATTTATGGGCAGGAGGCTGATTTAGGAGATGTACTCCTTTTCTTCTCTGTCCCTCCTCCCCCTTCTCGTCCCATCTCCAGACCCTGCTCTGAAAGCCGGAGGTTACCGGACCTCAGGGCACTTTCCCCTGAATGTTCTGGCTCTATTCAGCCCTCACACCCGGGCGCCGGGCGTGGCTGCCTCGTACTTCTCCTCGTAACTCCCGGCTGGGTTAGAATTGGGAGGGGGTGCCAGCCAGCATGTGTGCACACGCAGCCCCCAAGTCACGCCACTCCCCTAGCCTGCTTCACAGGACACGGCGTCCTGGGTCCCGGCCAGTCTGGTCGGGGGTTCCCCTGGGCTTCTGGATGGATGGGCTCCCGTGTTCCATGCCGGAAAGGTTGCTGCCCACAGAAACCACTGCCAGCCAGGAAAAGCCAAACCCTGCCACTCGCAGCTGGGATTTCATCCCCCAGGCCACTGCCCCTGCCTGCTGCCCGCTGCCGGCGCTGTGTGAAGGGGCTGCC